TCCCGGCTTTGTAGGGATGCGAGGTCAATGGTCTAACGACTACGGCATGCACGACTATGAGTACACCCATCTGTACTATCAGTATCACTTCCCGCCTTTGCAGCCCACTTCCTCTTCCACCGGCCTTGGGCAGGTATGCATACTTATCTCCGGTAATCGCGCCCCACAGGCCCGACTTCAGCGTCTCGCTGCAAATTTCAGGCGTTCGGGGTAATTTTATCTCGGCACAGACGGGACAAAAAAAAAGCGATTGAGTACGTATCCGTTGCATCGCGTTGTTGATTTCCTCCGCCCCCTCAAAGTATATATTCCAACGAGATCGATGACTATATTTGCATTGATTACCTATCGCGTTGTTGTCAGGAGGGCCAAAGTTTTCTAAATCGGGTTATGACCTTGATCCGTTGACTCCTGAGGAGGTGGAGGCCAGGGTAGACAAACTGACGGAGCTGCAGAAGGTCGTCCTGACCCAGGTATGTGAATCCTTATGTTTACGCATGCGCTTGTCCCTTGTTGGGGCTTTCTACCCACCACACACCTAACCGGGTCGCTGTTTGGCCTGTCTTTGAACGCGGTCCCGGTGGGGGTTGCAAAAGGCCGTTGGTACCTGTCGCTGATGGCGTGGAGCGGCGCCGAGCGGTACCTTTGGCGGCGCGCGGCGTCGGCGCAGTTGGCTGGCGAGCGTGGCCCTGGAACGCCGGCAAGCCGCGAAGTAGCTGTTTGTAGTGTCGGAGTTGGTGGACGGAGCGACGTATCGTGTGTCTTAACATGCAACGAAACACGTTCCTTCCTGTCGGGGGCTCTCGCCGTGTACTAGGTACCGATTTACGGAGATCTTGGGAGTTTCGTGTGAGCATGTGGTCTCTGTTTGTAGTAGGGCGATCCCCCTTCTACCGTGCATTGGCTAGCTTGCCCTGGTCACTCGTTAACATCCGAGGTCTTGAATCAACCTCTCTTGGCAGCCTTGGACGGTAGGCACCCACTACTGGTAATACCCTAGTGGGTACTTATCGTCAGAGGCTGCGAATGAAGGTTGACTCAAGACCTTGTTTATCAACCTGTGACCAGGGCATCCTCACCTATGCCTATGGACGGCCGAAGGGCGATTGCCCTCCTACAAATACATGTCACCCAATGACGCACGAAACCACCGAAGGACCCCCGCAGATTCGTATCTGCAGTTCATGGTGCTGAGTACGATTGACACAGGCATCGCACCCCGTCGCGAGGTCAAGATCTTCTACGGGGCGGCGGCATGATTCAAAACGAAATCCTATCAGATGCCTCGTTTTCTTGTTTCGTTCAATGTCGGATCAACAGGAGCGGCAAGCGGCCGAACTTGGGTTGTTTCGCGATGCCTCTTGATGGACGCTACATTGTATGATACACAATCGTGGCCAACAACCCATATGAAGAGCCAACGCCTCTCGAGTTACGTTTGTTACAAACCAATCGCTGCGGTTTGTTGTTGGTCTTCTTGCTTGCAGCCTAAACCTACCAAAGCTTGGAATAAGAGTACCAGGTTGGACGGCCCCCTCACTTCAAGCATGACACGTTTCATGCGCCTTGGGGTTTATCGTTTTGGTTCAGATTTCCCCTTCATTGTGTCGTGTCGTGCGCCCATGTTGAAACGGTGTTCTCTTGTCGCCGCTCGATGTAGGCGGGTACGGAGCGACCGTTTCAGGGCAAGACGGTGAACGGGTACAACGGTGGCATCAAGGCGGAGGGTACCTGGGTCAGCGCGGTATCGGGGGTCCCCCTCTTTAGCTCCGACACCAAGTACGACAGCGGCACCGGCTGGCCGAGGTGCGTGTGTGTGTGTGTGTGTGTGTGTTTTTTTTTTGTGTTACATGTGTTTTTTATTGTGATACTTTTTTTGTTTCTATTTTGTTGATATCATGGACAGCGCGAAGCAGTGACAACGGAAAAACGTAACGTCTCAGTGCAGCTGTGTGTATGTCTTCATTGTTTGCATCGGCGGCGCCAACTGGCTGACCAATGAAAGGCCTCAGTTTTGTGGCGAGATATCCAACGCGAACACGCTTTCTATTCAAAGGGTAAGGGTTCTACGGACACGGGGGAGCGCAGAAGTGTTGTTTCATTTGCGTTCACCGTGCCTACCGCGTGACGAATGACAATACGTCGGTTTCAGTGCAGCTGAAAGCACAGTATTCTTCTGGAGGACATGGTGTGGGACCTTGTGAGGCGGCGCCATGAGAGAGGCTACGCTGCTCTCCGAACATGGACAGGCTTCGTTTGTGTGTGTGTGTGTGTGTGTGTGTGTGTGTGTGTGTGTGTGTGTGTGTGTGTGTGTGTGTGTGTGTGTGTGTGTGTGTGTGTGTGTGTGTGTGTGTGTGTGTGTGTGTGTGTGTGTGTGTGTGTGTGTGTGTGTGTGTGTGTGTGTGTGTGTGTGTGTGTGTGTGTGTGTGTGTGTGTGTGTGTGTGTGTGTGTGTGTGTGTGTGTGTGTGTGTGTGTGTGTGTGTGTGTGTGTGTGTGTGTGTGTGTGTGTGTGTGTGTGTGTGTGTGTGTGTGTGTGTGTGTGTGTGTGTGTGTGTGTGTGTGTGTGTGTGTGTGTGTGTGTGTGTGTGTGTGTGTGTGTGTGTGTGTGTGTGTGTGTGTGTGTGTGTGTGTGTGTGTGTGTGTGTGTGTGTGTGTGTGTGTGTGTGTGTGTGTGTGTGTGTGTGTGTGTGTGTGTGTGTGTGTGTGTGTGTGTGTGTGTGTGTGTGTGTGTGTGTGTGTGTGTGTGTGTGTGTGTGTGTGTGTGTGTGTGTGTGTGTGTGTGTGTGTGTGTGTGTGTGTGTGTGTGTGTGTGTGTGTGTGTGTGTGTGTGTGTGTGTGTGTGTGTGTGTGTGTGTGTGTGTGTGTGTGTGTGTGTGTGTGTGTGTGTGTGTGTGTGTGTGTGTGTGTGTGTGTGTGTGTGTGTGTGTGTGTGTGTGTGTGTGTGTGTGTGTGTGTGTGTGTGTGTGTGTGTGTGTGTGTGTGTGTGTGTGTGTGTGTGTGTGTGTGTGTGTGTGTGTGTGTGTGTGTGTGTGTGTGTGTGTGTGTGTGTGTGTGTGTGTGTGTGTGTGTGTGTGTGTGTGTGTGTGTGTGTGTGT